AAAGTTTAAAGTGGCCATAGTGGCTACTCTGATGTGAAGCTTATCTGATGTGAAGCACTTCCCTTCCAAAAGCGCCTAAGGAAGAAACAGGAAAGACACCTTAGAACGTGATCTGCCTCCTGACAAATTTGGTGGACTAAGCAACCAAAAGCAGGCCAATCTGTGATTCTGTGAACAATTCCTCCCTTAAATCCTTTGGCTAAAGTTGAAGCAGAATGTTCTTCCCTCCCACGTAATTTCCTCTTTGACCTTCTCCCCTTCCTCTGGCTTTCTCTCCTTCTATGGCTTAACCTCTAATTGTGTTTACTACAGAATGCCTGGTTTCGGAAATCACGCTTCAAAGGAGGGAAAGGCAAAAAGCTGAATATTGGTGGAGGAGGCCTAGGCTACAGGGAGCGACCTGGCCTAGGCTCCGAGAACACGGTGAGTCCACACTACGGTGCCCTTGGTTCCACGTCCTGGGTGACGTTAGAATTGCTCTCGTCTACCTAAGGGAGGCCTCATTTGACACTGTTTAGAAAGGTACTTAAATTTTGGGACCAGCAGTTGACATAATGGCTATGTCGCTGGACTCCCATGTAGTCGACCATGCTTTGAGTCTCGGACTCAGTGGCTTAATCTCAGGCCGGCACATGTGCGTGCCCAAGATCCTGAGAGGAGAATCTGTCTTTCTGTGAGCGCACGCGCCCTGTAGTAAAAAAACTCTCAAAAATAACAAGAACAAAGGTACTTGAATTTAATCTGATTTGAGTCAGTGCAGCGCTTTATCATAAGAGAACACACACAAAAAAGTGATTGAGCACCCTCAACAGGATTTCATCATGCTGTGATCCCCATGCCCCATCCCTCTAGCTCCTTAAGATTTTGGGTACCAGTGTGGGCCCTCTGCTGGTTTTCAGATTGACAGGGAATTTGAACTAGCAGTCAGTCAGGAGGCTGCCAGTATTGTAGCCCTATACAGTACTGACTAAACAAGGTAAGACTGGGCCCAGTGCTACTTCTTTTATTTAGATATTTTTGCTCTGGTGTACGCTCACCAGAGAAAGACTGAGAAAAGTGAGAAGTCACACCCCAAGGGGCTGGCCATGCCGCAGTCCCTTCTCCATTCCCCTCTCGGGATTTTGGGCATGCATGCACATGCACCCTGTGTGAGTTGAAGCTGCCAGGTCCAGGACTCAAACTATGGTCAACTTATTGAGAGTCCAGTGATGTAACCGTTACACCATTCACTGGTCCCATCAGTGCTAGTTCTTAATGTAACTTTCCTTTTTATAAAAAAAAATTATTTAGTTTTATTTATCATTATTATTAATATGTTTTAATTAGACCAGAGAGACACACAGAGAGGAACAGAGAGGGAGACAGAGAAGGCAAGCCTCCAGATCCGGGGCTCAGACCACAGGCAGCCATGTGGGTGTCCAGTGCCTTAACCACTCACCACCCTCTGCAAATTGTGGTCCCTGGACCAGCAGCACATGCTGAAACTTACTGAATCAGAAACCGGAGGTAGCGCCCCGCAGTCTGTTTTGCATTCCCTAAACCCTTGTCCAGAGCCCACAGCTAGGGAAATGGTGCCAGAGAGTTGCTGTAGCTACCCTGGCTATGTCTTGTCCCTAAACTGAAGAATGATCCCTGCTCTCTGGGAAATCATATCAGAGAGGTAAGAGCTAGTTTTTTCTCACCAGGTAACAAGAGCATCTACTCTCTGGCTTTTTTAAATGCCTATTTTCTGTCACTTTGATTCCTAAGCCAGGGCAGAAAGCTGCCATTTTACTTTTCTGGAGCATTATACAATAGTTAGATAATTTGGCATAGTTGATTTAGAAAAATTCTTTTCGCAAATTACAGTGATGATGGTGATGGTGTAGATGATAGCCATAGCCTGCATTTATTTGCTGATAGCTTTATTTGGACAAAACCCATTCCAAATAATCACACATCTTAACTCAGTCTTCACAACTACCCAGTATAAGTAAGTACACACAGTAAAACTGAGGCCCTTGGTTATATACTGCTGGGTGCTGAAGCTGAGATTCAGGCCCATAGTCTCGATTCAGAGCCTAAGCATGTATCATTTCATCTTTGATATAAATTTTACTTGTTTGAATGCATTTGTGTTTGTCGGCTTTAGGTATAATCTGACCACATTTCTGGATTGAGGGGCAGAAGGATCTTTGACTCTTCATTACTGCACCTTTTCTCCCAAAGTATATGTAGCAACATTCCCACCAAGCTGCCAATTTGAGTTACCAGTACAAGGAATCCCAGTATGGGACAATGGGCTTTCTGACTTATTTTCAACCCTCATGAGTATATTTGTTTTTTAGGACCGAGGAAATAACAACAATGTAATGAGCAATTATGAGGCCTACAAACCCTCCACAGGAGCCATGGGAGATCGGCTGACAGCAATGAAAGCAGCTTTCCAGGTCCGAAAGAGCATTTGGTTAAGTGTGTTGGGGAGTAACTCTGGGGCAGTGATAAGGAGCCTCACCCTCCTGAGGTGGTAGCTGGGCTTATAGCTTTGATGCTAGATTTAGGGCCTTCTCACTGTCTGGATTTCAAATATAAACCTCACAGTAGCTTACTTGGAGCTGCAGAAGGCTTTAGGAGTGGTCACTTCCTTTAGTCACACCCCGAACAGAGCTGTCGTGCTGCAGTGGGGTTTGTTTCCTCCCTAATGGCTTGGGGCTGCCTCCCCAAGGCTGTTTGTGATCTCTAGGTGGTTGTTATCTCTTGTGAATCCTGAGCCTATTTTATTTGTACTACACTTACACTTCGTTGGCTGGCATCTAATTAGCTAGGCCTTAATTTTATTCCTATTTACATATATTTATTTATACATATATTAGAGTATGTGCGCTTGGAGAGAGAGAATGAGAGGGAAAGTGAGAAATCACTCCCTGGGGGATGGCCACACCACAATCCCTTTTCGTCCATTCCTCTTCAGGCATCTTGGGCATGCATGTTCACACATGTGTGCCACCAGGTTCAGTACTCAAACTGCAGTCAGTCATTGCTGTGGGGAGTCCAGCAATGGACCCCTATGCCAACTGCTGGCTCCACAAGGCCTTAATTTGCACTTTATTTTTTAGAGAGATCTTTGCTATAGTGTGTGTACTTGCCAGAGACATAGATGGAAAGCGAGAAATGACCTTCCGGGGGAATGGTCACAGTCCCTTCTACTCCATTCTCTCGGGATCTTGGGCGCACACGTGCCACGCATGAATTTCCAGCTGCAAGGTCCAGGACTCAAGCCACAGTCGGCCATATGGGAGTCCAACAACGTAACTGCTATGCCATCTACTGGTCCTTAATTTGCATATTTTATACAGGAACATAGAAATCCTTGTTCTAGAATTCAAGATTTTTCAGATTTGAGAAAGGTGTGCATATTTCATAGTAACACCCCAACAAGGCCTGCAGCCACCACCATGTAAAGTCTTATAATTTAAGGCAAGTTTTGCTTTCAAATTTATTCTAGTTTTTGGTAACTTTTGGATTTTTGAGTTGTGAAAAACATTGCAGACAGTGTTGGAATTGCTTCTATATTCACAAATGCTTCTGTCCTGGCCAATCAGGCTATAAAAGTAAATGTTACGGGACCAGCAAGTGGCGTGGTAGTTAAGGCACTGGACACTCCCACATGGTTGACCATGGTTCGAGTCCCGGACCTGGTGGCTTGCTTTCTCACTTTCCCTCTGTCTCTTTCTCTCTGTGTCTCTCTCTGGTCGAATTAAAAGTGAATGAATAAATAAATAAATAATTATTTTTTTTTAAAAAAGTAAATACTACACTGAGGTGTGTCTCTCCATAAGTTTTCCTTACATCTTGAGAAAGGGACTGTGCTGGGCCAGCAAGTGGCATAGAGGTTAAGGCACTGGGTCCCTCATGGCTGACTTTGTGGTTCAAGTCTTAGACTCAGTAGCTTGAAAATCACTCTGGGTGTATGTGCGTACTTGGCCAGAATCCCAAGGGGAGAATGAAGGGATGGTGGTATGGCCATTCTCTTGGGAGCTGATTTCTCTCACACACATACACACCCTGTTTCTTTCTGGTGAATGCACATATCCTGTAGCAGAAACAAACACCAAAAAAAAGAAAGGGACTGTGCTGTGGGGCCATCATGATACTGAAGTCACAAGGCCAAAGTGGCATACTTAGAGTCTCTTTGTACTTAATTGCCAAGCTTATATACTTGAGTTTCTTGAACTTGCTAACTTCCCTACTCCTGGTGTCTTTTCTTTCAGTCACAGTACAAGAGTCACTTTGTTGCCGCCAGCTTAAACAATCAGAAGGCCGGGAGCTCTGCTGCGGGGGCAAGTGGATGGACTAGTGCAGGAAGCTTGAATTCTGTTCCAACCAATTCAGCACAGCAGGGCCACAACAACCCTGACAGCCCCATCACCAGTGCTGCCAAGGGCATCCCAGGCTTTGGCAATGCTGGGAACATCAGCAGTGCTCCAGTGACCTACCCTTCTGCTGGAGCCCAAGGAGTCAACAACACAGCTTTAGGCAATAATAACCGGGAAGGGATTGGGGGTGGCAATGGGAAAAGAGAGAGATACACTGAGAACCGGAGTGGCAGCCGTCACAGTCACGGAGAAAGTGGCAATCGGCATGGTGATAGTCCACGCCATGGAGATAGCCCACGCCATGGAGATGGTGGTCGCCACGGAGATGGGTACCGCTACCCAGAAAGCAGCAGCCGTCATACTGATGGCCATCGGCATGGGGAGAACAGACACGGAAGCACAGGCCGGCACGGGGAGAGCCGGGGTGCAAATGATGGCCGCAATGGGGAGAGCAGGAAAGAAGGTTGTAATCGTGAGAGCAAGATGGACCCCAAGGTGGAACCCAAGGTGGAAAAGACAGACAAGACCACAGACAAGACAGCTGATGGTTTCGCTGTCCCAGAGCCACCCAAACGCAAGAAGAGTCGATGGGACAGTTAGAGGGTATGTGCTAAAGTGTGAAGTCTGCTGTCTTTAATTTTATTTTCAGAAAGATACAGGTAACTAGGTGTCTCAGGGCTGGGTTGGGATCCAAGGTGTAAGGACCCCCTGGCGAGCTGGAGCCTGGAGGCATTGCCCCTTGTCAGAGTGGTTTTTGGATGTTTTCTTGAGAAGCTACTTGGGTTTTTTGGTTGTGGGTTAAAGAGCCTTACAAGGCACAGAACCCACTCTAGGTTTGTACCATATAGCTTTTTTTTACTAAAATGCCACTGTGTAAACACCTATACACCTATAAATTGAGTTCTTTTTCTTAGCTGTGGCCATGCAGTCCCCTTTTTAGGAGTTGGCTTCTGCAAACCCAGCCCGTTGGGGGAGCAGTCTGGTTTGGCAGATCCCAGTGTTTCGCAGGGAAGGGAGAGGTCTGATTCCGAATGAGAACAGATGCTCGGGTTCCGCAGCCAAGTCTGTATCTGGCCCTGAGATGCGTAAGGAACAACAGCTTTCTAGACCTAGGCCCAAAGATTCCTGTGACCTCCTTGATGGAAGGAAAAAGACCATCCTGGAAACCAGGGTTCCAGGACTGCTCCAGATCTGTTGTGTTTTACGTTTAAAAAACAAAACGCCCCAACAGCAGCTTTTAAAGTGTCTATTTTTTTTTTTTAACTTGCCCCAATGGTAGGAAGTCTTTTGCTGAAATGATTTTGATGATTTTTTTTTTGTTCTATCTTGTTTATAAAAGGAAAAATACACAAACTTCAAATTTTGTGACTTTGTGAAGGTTTCTTTAAGATGTGCATTCCTTTCTGCTTGCTCTCTAGTAAATGGTTTACTACTGGGACCTGTGGCTTGTCTGTCATTTCTCCTTCACAGCAAGGCAGTGCCTCACAATGGCTAAGAACAAGACAGCACACAGTAGACACTCAGGTGTGGGTCCAGAGTTACTGAACTGTCAGAAAAGAGTCTTCTGTGGTCCTGGTTTTATTCAGCTAATAGAATCGGGCCCATGTGCCCAAGAATAGACTAAGTCAGGCCACTGACACTGAACTGTCACAGGGCTTGCCAGTTTTCATTCAGTACCCCATACTCTTCATAGGAGGGCCAGAGGGGTTTGACCAGCTTCAAAAAGGACTGTGCAGCAGTTCTCTGAGACAGGATACCCTCCCCACCACAAAGGACCATCCTGGCTGTTCTAGGCATCCCACCTTGTTGGCAAAGCGGGTACCAAGGAAGCTGCAGCAAGTGGCACTGCATCTTTCCAGTCTCAGGGAAGCCCAGAGGCCCTCACTTCCGCTTATGCTTTTTTTTCTGCTCCTTCCGCTGCTGTGCTCTCTGGTCCTTCTTCATTCTTGAGTCCACCACCTTGAAATGACCTCTAACCCCAGCTGGCCGGCGTACTTTGCGGCCCACACCTTTTTTGGCTACAACGTAGGTGACTTGGCGTTTCTCTTTGCCTAACCCAGCCTTCTTGTAGAGACTGCAAAGGAAAGAAAAGTCAGGGGTAGGAGCTTGCTATCTGTTGGTCTTTTTAACCCCATGTGCCTTCATGGGTTGTCCTCCCCATTACCTCCGTAGCTGGGCCACTTTCTCTCGTTCTGAGATGTCCACTGTGTTCACCACAGCCTCTGCCTTCTTCTTGGTCTGCTCCAGTTTCTTCAGCATCTGGGAGGGGACCCCAGTCAGGTGACCTTTTCCCCACTCCTGTCCTGCCCAACCCTAATCTCAAGCAACTCCCACTACCTACCCTTCGCTTCTTTCTGGCCTTGGCTTCAGCCACTTTCTTGATGGGACGTGCGTTGATCTCCCTCCAGCGTTTCCGGTAACGCTCTACCTCCTTCTTGTCAACAGGCAGTTGACGGATACGGTGCTGCTTTTCTTCCTGGACAAACCACTCGGGAAGCTCCCCCTCTTCCTCATTAAATGTATACCTGGGCAGAGGGGACACCAGCCCTATAATCAGCCATTCTAGGCTTTCTAAAGAAATCCCCTAGTTGCCTACTGCACCCCAGGCCGTTTCTCCAGACTCATGCTCACCGGTTGAAGGAGTTATCTATGAGATCTCTCTTGGCCTTTTTGGAAGAGGCAATAATAGCACCTAAAGCGAGGCCTTCAGGGTCCAGTATCCGGTGTTTTGCTAGAAAGGGAAGGAGAAGTCAGAGCTTGATTCCCAAAACAAGCTGCTACAGGACTTCTCTAACCTACTACACACAGATCTCACCTGGGTCCTCAATGGGCACCACCTCAAACCCGTCATCATCTGACTTCGGTCTACGACTTCTCTTCTTACTACATGGTGGTTCCCAACTGTTAGGAGGAGGACTGTTAGTAAATATTCCACCACTTCCTACACCACCTAGACAGCATTTCCACCTCAACTCAATCCTGTTGCCTGTTTAAGCCCACTTACAGGAAACCTGCAGGAATTCTGCCATCCAGCAATACCCCCGACCAGTTAAATCAGAATCCTCAGCCTGTTTAAAGCTCCCAGGCTGCAACCAAGCTTGAGAAAACCCCTGAATGCTTCCTCCTCCAGCTGTACTCAACTCACCTTTCTTCCTCACTGCTAGTGCTGTCACTGTCTGAGCTGCCACCTCTTTCTTCTCCAGGGCTAGTGGTAGCTTCCGTCCCTGAAGGAGGCTCTGTCTCTTTAGGGGCATCTTCATGTCCCTGGGGAGACTTAGTCTTCGAAGTGGGGGGTGGTGGCAGCTGTGGCTGCTGCTGTCCCTTGCACCGGCTCCTGTACAGCAGCTGGGCCTGACTGATCTCCAAGGCCTCGTCAGCATCATCCTCTATTCCACTGAAGCCATCCTGTGGTGGAGGAATCTGTCCATCTCACCCCAAACCTCTCAAATTGTTTCTTTCATAAGAAAAAAAGGAAGAGATCCCACACCACAGCCTGGGCCTCAGCCTCTCTGCCAGCCTGGACCACAGGTTCAACCCAGAACCTGAACCCAGGGCCTTCCTGTGTGCTCTCTGGTATCACACTGTGGTGCCCTCCCACCTCTGTACCTAGCCCCCAGCCTCTTTACCTTGGAGAACCACAGGTTGGCTTGCTCTTCCTGCAGGACTGCCTTTTCTTCCAGTGGCACCAGCAGTGGATTTTCTTCTTTCTCCTCCTCTTTGTCGTCATCTGCTTCAGCAAACTGCACACTGTATACCCAAAGGAAAGTGGGGGAGATTCAGCAACCCAGAGCTGGAGGCCTTGCTCCCCGACCTCCCCAATGACACCCGCACAAGTGCTGCAGGACTGCAGCTGCGGATAGCGGTACCTCCTCTCACTCCCCTATCCCTACCACTTTTGGTCCTTCAGAACCTGACGTCCCCCGACTCCTGCCAGCTCCTCAGGATCCAGGTCACTATCCAGAGATGCACTGTCATCGTCCTCGACATCTGATACATAGATGTCATCCCCCGGCAGGTCGGACAGAAACGTGTCTGCAGCACTCATGTCCCCTTGTGTCACTTCCTCTAACAACTGAAGTTGGAACAGAAAGAAGTACTTAAAGGAACACATTGCTGTTTTTTTAAAGAATTATTTATGTATGTATTTATTTTTAATCTGACCAGAGAGGGACAGAGAGAGGGCAAGTGAGAAACCAAGCTGCCAAGCCCAGGACTCGAACCTTGGTCAGTCAAGTGGGATTCCAATGTCTTTAACCAACACACCATCTGTTGACATCACAGCTTTTCCCCTATGTCCATTAACTTAGTTTATTCTCAGCAATGCTGAGACAGAGACATAGGGAAGCTTAGACCCAGGGAAGTGACCAGCCCAACTGTTTAAGATATTGTATCCGAGGCCAGATCACTGAACTGATGATTGTCTCTGTCTCACCGTCAATGGTGGCACTTATAGGTGTTATAGAGAAGTACCCCGTGCCCCATATAGCTCCAAAATTTAGAATATTCTAAACTGATTTTTCTTCTAGTGTTATCACCTTCTGAGAGTAACATCTACCCATTTTGTTTCCACAGAATAAAGGAACCCAAACATACACTTAATAGAACTGTATCACGTCAACTCAGAACCACAGTGTAGTCTCATGGCAAGAAGAGCTTTCCATGAACTTTAAGAAGTTCATGGAAAAATGGAATTGAAGTGAGTTTATTTTGGCACAAAAATGTTTGAAATCCATGCAGTTTTGTTCATAATACATGAGTACATCACATACCAACAATTACAACAGGCCATCTTTTTTTCATTCCTTATTAAAAAAAACCCTAGTGGGTAGGTTCTGTTACTGTTTGACAGGTGAGGAAACTGAGGCAAAGAGTATCAGTGACAACTCAGTCACCCAGCTCCAAGTGGGGGAGCTGGGGCTAAACCCTGAAGTCTGCATTAGCGCCACTATGCTCTTCTGCCTCGCCTGTAGGACGGTGACTACCTGGCTATGACATTCCCACACAAGGACCACAAGAGCTCATTTTGCTTGAGGCTGCTTTTACCAGGGAAGAGCACGTTCTCCAGTAGCCTGCTGTGCGGTACTCACTTAGCCTCAGTGAACTGATGAACACTGCTCGCTTTAAGGGAGACTCTGCACCTGTGCTTGTAACCCAGGTATCCTGGCTGCATCTGCCATGATTCAAACTCTTGGTCCTAATATATTTTTTTATTTAATTTTATTCACTATCATTTTAATTTTGACCAGGAGGAGGTAGAGAAGAGAAAGCAAGCCTCCAGGTCCAGGACTCAACCCACCACGGTTGGCCATGTGTGAGTCCGGCACCTCCTGGGCCCGCTCCTAATATTCTAGTTGTATAGGAATAAATCTGTATCACACTCACGAATCTTCCTAATTTAATCTCATTAGGTGTAGGGTGTTTTTTTTTCAGAGCCCCTGATCGCTTAGCACCCTTAGTAAAAACCAGTGTCTCCCACCTCCAATCACCCAAGTGGATGGATTATCCTGCCTCACCTGGTGACCCCGGATGGTGCGCAGCGAGAACATTCCGGTCTCCCCCTCGTCTGCAATGGAAACCCCAGGCAGGTCCATCTTCAGTTCTATGCGCTCTCGCTGCTTTCTCTGCTCACGTAGTAGCTTCTTTTTCTTCCTAAGGGGACATGTTGAAGGATCAAAGCTGCCCAGCTCTGAAGACTTCCTTCTCTTTCCCAGTCTTCACATGCTGAGGACCTCTTTGTTGGGGCTCCCCAGGTCTTCCTCAATTTCTCACCTTTTTAATTCTGCCACCTCCTGGGCCTTCATCTCAGCCAGGGTTTGGTTCAGTTGTTCCTCCTCCTCCTCCTCAGAGGGCTGCCTTGTAGTCCCTGCTGTTGACTCCTCCTCCTCCTCACCTTCTTCCTCCTCTCCTGAGCTGAGGCTGACCAAATAGTCCAAGGAGTTTGTTTTTCCAGACACTTCTTCCTGACAGCCAGCCAACACTCACCCTGGTTGATGCCCTCCTCACCTGATGTCCAGGGCCTTCGCTTGCTCTTTCAGCTTCTTGGCCACATATCGCCGAAGTTTTGTTCTCCAGTTTAGTAGGGACCTGTCCCCAAAATACTATTACTTATCTTACCATCTCCCTCTTGTGCCTGCCTCCCCTGTTTTAGGCCCACACTCCAAAGCTCTCACACAGCAGCATCCTGTCCTAGAGATCCAACATCACAGCCTTCAATGACCTTTCCCTGCCTCCAGGGCTCCTGATCCCTGGGCCCACCCCACCTCATACCTGAGCTCCTTTCTCCCCAGCACTTTGATGTCCTGACAGCATGCTCTTATGTCCTCAGTGGTAGCCGGGTGTTGTGCCAACTCTTCCTCATCTAGTGAGATCTGTTTTTAAGGAGGGAAAGAAGTCAGGGAGAGTCTTAGGCCATGTATCTAAGACTCCTTTACATGTATCTGGGACTCCTTTACATCTCTAGAGTCTGGGAACTTACTTCGCTGGCCTTGGAGAGGAAGTCCACAGGGTTGGTGGCTCGGAGGAAATCCGTGACAGAGGTACGATGATAAAGAGTGAGGTCACCCTCAGCATAACCTTCAGCCTAGATGCAGAAATAGAAAGGTTGAAGGACCTTTCTATGGCCTGTAGGCCCAAGTTCCCCAGAGTCCCGGGACTTGAGGGTGGCCCCATTTCAACACACCTTTGGCTTTTTCTTAGTCACCAACTCAGTAACAGTCTTAGCCTGAACTTCAACTTCCTTGAAGGCAAATTTGGGGTCAAAGAATTTACTATCAACCTTGTCAGGAGCCAAGAATCCTAAAATGACAGAATATTTAATGTTCTTAATGCCCACCCCAACCTTTATTTAGAGCTGGAAATGATGGTGTTTGGAATTGGGGGAAAGGGCACTGGTAGTCAGAAGGCCTAATCAAGAGAAAAAAGGAAGGAAGGGGCTAGCAGGTGATAGAGTGGGTAAGGTGCTGGACTCCCACATGGCCAACAGTGGTTTGAGGCCCAGATGTGGCAGCTTAAAACTCACACCAGGCACATGTACATGCATATCCAAAATCCTGACAGAAGAATGGAGAAGGGACTGCAGCACGGTCATCTCCCACGGGGGTGATTTCTCATTTTCTCTCCCTCTCTCCACTGAGCACACATGCCCTATAGTAAAAACCTCTCCAAAGGAAAAAAAAAAAGGAAGTGATGCCTACCCTGGCAGACTACAAAGATCTCTGCAGATTCATGGCGAGAGGCTTGGGGCTTGGTGGCCTGGACACGGTGGAACAGCTGCTGGAAGATCCACAGCAGGGGCTGATAGTCACGAGAACGGAAAACTTTTGTGATGAAGCAGCCTCCACGGGCCAAAAAGTCACAAGCCAAACGCAGAGCCATCAGCGTCAAATGGGCTGTGGGGAAAAAAAAAAAACAGTCAGCTGAAGACCTCTGCAACCTGAGCGGGCATGCCCACCTCCACCCCACCAACATCTCCCAAGACCCATAATCCTGGCACCTTGTGAGTAAGCATCATGGACCCAGCTGGCCCCAACATTGGGGGCCCCATCATTGAGTACAACATCAACCTTCCAGGTCTTCAGCTCCTTCCTCAGGGCCTAAAGAAAAGAACAGGGATTATGGCAACAGAAACACATGAATGGCTACGAATGGAATCCCTAGTCCAGCCATTTGTCCATCTGGTCATTTGCTGAGTGCCCAGAAATGGACCAAAATCCTATGCCAGGCATGGGGGTATAAAACAAGGGCTTCACAAAGCTTATATAGCCTAATAGTGATTTCACTGGAGAAAGGGCTTCATGGAAAGAACTTCAGAGAAAAGCTCTGCCTTTCCCCAATTCCTTCATTCTCAACTCTAAATAATTTAAAGGCTGGAGTAGACATTAAGAAAGTTACAGACTTGGGGCAGGCAGGTGGCATGGTGGTTAAGAATGTTTGACTCCCACATGGCCGGCCACAGTTTGAGTCCCAGACCTGGCGGCTTGCACTCTTGCTTGCTCTCTGTCCCTCTCCGGTCAAGTTAAAATAAAGTAAGTAAAGAAAGAAAGAAAAAAAAAAACTGCCAAAGTGCCTGCCTTAAAAAAAAAGTTACAGACTTGTCAGACACTTCCTCAAGGCACAGTAAATAGGAAAAACTTTGCCTTTAGGAGATTTAGGAGACATATACATATAAAGTGGCCAAGAAAAGAGATTCTTGTTACCTGTCTACAGCGTTCTGTTGTGATGTCCTCCTGGAGAGTTACTACATTGGGAAGAGGCTTGATTGGAACCAGGTCCACTCCTGGAAGAAATCAGGTCGGAGAACTCTAGAGAGCTGTCTTAAGCAGGAAGGAGAGAAATACAGGACAAACTTAGTGCCTCAAACACCCACCAACTATCCAGGAGAACCCCACTACTCACCAACAATAAGACTGGACACTGGCATAAACTTGGCAGCCACCTGCAGCCTTTAAAAGGAATAGAGATTGAAATATCTAGCACTGATTTGTTCACTTCCTTGGCAGTGTGATAGTTCACACCAGGTGTTAGGAGCCCCTGCCAATGCCAAGTACAGTGGCCAAAGCGTGTCATATGTACACATTCCAAGCTTCTTCACTGCAGTCACAAACTGTCTCCAAGGGTTAGGAAAGACCTCTGCTCAGGGGTGCAGAGAAATCTTAAGATGGGATTACTATACCGTTGAAGGGTAAGAGAGATCCCTAACCCTGCCCTTATCCAAAGCAACTCTAAGCCATGCTGGGCCAGCAAGCTGCCATCAGGGGCGACCTATACCGAGTGATACGAACCATCCCCCTGGCGCGGCACACAGGTCCAACAAGGCGCGGGCTTTCTGCAGGAACTGAAAGCGGCGATTAAGCTGGATCAGCTTGAAGGCGGAGCGAGAACGGTAACCTGAAGAGCGACGACCAAAGGAGTCCGCGGGGCTCACAACCCACTACCCTTTCTGCAGGGGTCGAACTCAGTATTCGGAAGGGAGGAGCAGACTGGGCCCAGGTCGTCGGCTCGCCCCCCCGCAGCCCGCGCGAGCCCTGACTCACCAGTCTCCTTCGCCAAATGATAGAATTTGTCCCGCCGGCTTTTGCCGACTTTGCCCTTCTTGCCCATCGCAGAACGGGAGTGTGTCGCTCACACTGGGGACAAAGTAGAAGTCGGGAAAGTCTCTCTCAGGAGCACTAGATTTCGCTTGCCACTTCCCACCACCTGGAGCAACTACATTCAACACCCAGTTCCACACACTCACCCCGAGTCTAGACTCACCGCCGTTCTCGCCACACCGGGACGGCCACATGCAGACAGCCAGCGCACTTCCGCTTCCGGTCCCTGCGGCCCCGGGGCCAAGTGTTCCGCCATTTTTAGTGTGTCCGTACATTTTTTAAATTTTTTTTCCCTCTAGGTTTTGTCCCCAGGCCTTGTAAGTGGAAGTTGAGACGAGAAAGGCATATTACAAGAACCACCAATATAGTTCCTGGGTAGTAATACCTAGGCGTCCTACTTCCTCTCCATTCCACTCCCAAACGCCAGCAACGACCCCTCCTTCAGGGCCCCCGGCACTTACTGTCTTCCCGCCACACACCCCGCCCATTGACCCGGAACTCTTTACTGCGCCGGGCGTTCAATCCCCTGGCTTCCGGCCCTGCGCGCTGAGACCGCTCGGATGCCGGCGGGCCCCGCCGAGAAGGGAACATGGCGCTTGACGGTCCAGAGCAGGTATGCTGTCGGCGAAGCAGCGGCCGGGCAGGGACCAGGGCTGGCTGCGGAGCAGGCGACATCCGAGGTGGGGAGCGGGCCCGGGCCAGAGGGTCGGGTGGGCCGGGGTAGGTGGGCCAGTCTGGACTGGGCCTGCCTGGGACCGGATCTGCTGTGTCAGCGCCGCCCCCGGTGAGTCCGGGCAGGGCTGGGAGAGGAAGACGGTGGACGCCGAGTGAGGCAAGCGGCGGGGGACGGGGCGCTGGGCTTTTCTGCTGGCCGACTCTGTAGTATAGCGCCTCCGCTTCGTATAGCGCTTTGTAAAACGCTGCGATGTTACGATTCCTTGATCCGGCTAATGTCTTAGGAAGTCGGCGGAATTCTCTTTTATTTTAGTCGTGGGGAAATGGAGGGTTCGAAGGAAGGGATAAGGGATTAAAATCCAGGTCTGAAGTCTGCAAAGCCCAAGCACTTTTTACTGCACGAAGCTGCATGGTAATAAGCCTTGGGGGAGTCCTGGAAGTGGCTTCACCCCTTGGACGAGCTGCCGTTTAATAATTACGCTGTGTCTCAGATGGAGCTGGAAGAGGGGAAGGCAGGCAGCGGACTCCGCCAGTATTACCTGTCCAAGATTGAAGAACTCCAGGTGAGGACGGACTACAGAGGGAGCTGGGAAGGGGTGAGGACTGATGGAAGCAGGTTTCTTGGAATCATTCCATTCAGAGTACAGTGGAAGGTTATTTTTTTTTTCCTGTTTGTTTCTATAGCTTTTAGAAAAGTGTATGTCTACGAATGTAAACCATCCTATGTTAACAACCTCTTCTTCCCAAGTCCCATCTTTTTCTTTTTTTGGAGAGGTTTTTGCTATAGGGCGTGTTTGCTCGCCAGACAGACAGAGAGAGACAGAAAGTGAGAAATCACTCCCCAGGGGGGGATAGCCACACCGCAATCCCTTCGTCTCTCGGGATCTTGGGCACGCTCCCGGCGTGAGTTTAAGCCGCCGGGCCTGGGACTCGAACCGCAGTCGACTATGTGGGAGTCTAGCGACATAGCCATTACGCTAACTGCTGGCCCCAGCCAAGTCCCACCCTTTGAGGGTAGTAATATTGGTGGTTTGTTACACGTTTCCAAGAATTAGATTTTAACAGATTCCTCTAGCAAAAGGTCATCCCCTTTGGAAGAAGCCTGAATGAAAGGTTTTTAATAAAAGAGAAGACACGTGCCCAGGAGAGGAAGTTTATGGGAAAAGAGGTGGAGCAGGGCCTAATGAGAGTGGGAGGATGGACAGTATTGAGTGTGGACAGATTCCTTGGAGACTGAATGAAAGGAATGGGGCAACTCAGTGCTCTTAACCTGCAGAGCTGAACTGGGGAAGTAGGACAAGTAATTTATACAAATTGGGTAGGGGAAAGCCACAAGGAAAGTTCCTGAACGCCAGGTACAATCGCATATATAATACTTGGTTTGTCATTTTTTAATGTCTTCACCTGATTTCATTTGTTCACCTTAGTAGTCCTAAAAAGAAGCAGAGTTGCTGATGCTATACTCTTGCAGTTTGGTGACAGATCTAGAGCCTTGAAATGGCCTGCCTTAGCTTCACTATGCTTTTGAAGTTTATTTCTTGAAAAAGGAGGGACACGGGTACCTTTGATAGGGTCTTGCCATGCCTTGTCCCCTACCCCCAAGCCCTGCCACACCCTAATACCTACACTGCAGTGGCAGAGCCAACCTCCCTCCTAATTGGAGCCAGAACTCAGCTGACCTAAAGATCTTTCCACTATGCCTTGTTGCCTCTGCAAGAAATTGACTGTGAGCCTCCATAACTTTTGTCTGTTAGATTATTATTCCTGGGCCAGTACTGGACAAATAGCCTTTATCAATGACTGTCCTAGGCTCCAGAGAGCTCTCAGAGGACAGGACACGGTCAGTGGGTGCACCCTGGAGAATGAAACAGCATGGAGAGGCACCGTGCCCTTTTCATAGCTCCTGCCCACCTGAGAGAGCTTTGGCCAAGACCCTATGTCCTATCTTCTGCCCTTTGGTAACAATTTCTTTCTTTCCTCCACAGCTGATTGTGAATGATAAGAGCCAAAACTTGCGGAGGCTACAGGCACAAAGGAATGAGTTAAATGCAAAAGGTAAGGGAGAAGGGCACTGCATGCAGGCAGTTTGAGGTCCGGCTGTGCCTTGTCTCCCTGAGCTGTGTCTTCACAGTGCTCATTCTTCCTCCCCAGTGCAAGGTGACACTTCCCACTATCACCATGTAGCTATTGCACACACACACCCCTTTCTCAGGTTCTAGTGTAACTGCCTTGAGGACGTGAACTTAGTTCTTTGTTGTGATTATGGCTGTCCCTTCAGAACTCCAGTGTGGTACTTAGTCTCTGCATGTCGAGTCGACTCTGGACTGGGAGCACCAGAGCAGCAGCTAGATGACCTGTGTGTCTGTTTACCATCTAGTTCGCCTTTTGCGGGAAGAGCTGCAGCTGCTGCAGGAACAGGGCTCCTATGTCGGGGAAGTGGTCCGGGCCATGGACAAGAAGAAGGTGCTGGTCAAGGTAAAAGCGTGACCCCAAGGCCCAGCCCGTGGCCCCACTGCTTCTTTGTATGCAGCCTTGGGGAGACAGGGTTCTGTGTCCTCACTTACTCTAAGACCCTCATGACTTTCTGGGCAGGGTTGGTGATGGTGGCTGTCAGGGAAGGTCACAAGCCTTTGTTTCTTTAGGTGCATCCTGAGGGAAAGTTTGTCGTAGACGTGGACAAGAATATCGACATCAACGATGTGAGTGTGGCAGGTGAGGTGCTGGTGTGGCCAGTTCTTATGGCCCACTTCCTGAAATTTGCCCCCTTTGCCCAGGTGACACCCAATTGCCGGGTGGCTCTAAGAAATGACAGCTACACTCTGCACAAGATCCTACCCAACAAGGTGGACCCACTGGTGTCACTGATGATGGTGGAGAAGGTGCCAGACTCAACCTACGAGATGATTGGTGGACTGGACAAGCAGATCAAAGAGATCAAAGAAGTGATCGAGCTGCCAGTCAAGCACCCTGAGCTCTTTGAAGCACTGGGCATCGCACAGCCCAAGGTGCGGAGCACGGCCCCCGGGCCGGCTGTACTTACCCCTCCTGTCCCACCCAGACCCTGGGACAGGGTGAGGTAGGCCCTGCCTGCTCACAAAGACTAGGGCAGAGGATCCTAGGACCCTGAGCTCCAGAAGGGCCCCTAATGCTCATCTGTGTTTTAAGAAAAATTTTTTTTCTCTTATTCATGGTAGTTTGCACACATTTTTTAGAGAGATTATGATCAGACCCCCATGCTGCAATTCCCCTTCAGACTGTTGGGTTTCAAGCGCACGCATGTTTCAGGCTGACCAGGCCAGCCTTTTGTTTAGTTTTGCTGTAGGGCATGTGCGCCGACTGAGGGTGGGAGGAGGAGGAGAGAAAGTGAGAAGTCACCTCCCAAGAGGGATGGCTATTCCACTACCCCTTCATTTTCCTCTCTGGATCTTGAGCATATACACACATGCACCCAGCCTGTTTCTCAGTGTGGGATCGAGCCTCCCCAACCACCACACATCACTGGCCAGTGGTTGCCAGATGGGATCCAGCTTCTGGGCAGCACGGAACCACTGCACCGCAGTGCTCGCCTGGTGTTCATTTTAGGTAGTCCCCGCACCTAGCAAGAGATCCAGCGCAAAGCTGGAATGAGGTGCCAGGTCCTGCTGTCTCCTCTAGGGTGTGCTGCTGTATGGCCCCCCAGGCACGGGGAAGACACTGCTGGCCCGAGCTGTGGCTCATCACACCGACTGCACCTTCATTCGTGTCTCTGGCTCTGAATTGGTACAGAAATTCATTGGTGAAGGTAACTGTGATCAAGAATGAGAGAAATGAGTTGGGGCTGGGAGAGGGAAGCCTCCTGATGCCAGCTGTGCTTCTGCACAGGGGCAAGAATGGTGAGGGAACTGTTCGTCATGGCCCGAGAACACGCTCCATCTATCATCTTCATGGATGAAATCGACTCTATTGGCTCCTCCAGGCTGGAAGGGGGTTCAGGGGGTGACAGTGAGGTGCAGCGCACCATGCTAGAGCTTCTCAACCAGCTGGATGGCTTTGAGGCCACCAAGAATATCAAGGTGAGGGGGTGGCAGCCTGAGGATGAGCCCTGGGAAGGCCCATGATGCCATGCAGGCCAAGGAAGAGCTGACCTGACTCCACCCCTTTTCCGCACCCAGGTCATCATGGCTACCAACAGGATTGATATACTAGACTCGGCCCTGCTTCGCCCGGGACGCATCGACAGGAAAATTGAATTCCCACCTCCCAATGAGGAGGTTAGTGATAGATGGTGCTTGTAGGGGCCCTCCCTGTGAGCATAAGTGCAGGGCTCAGGCTTTCTTGTCCTGTCTTTAGGCTCGGCTGGACATTCTGAAGATCCATTCTCGGAAAATGAACCTGACCCGGGGGATCAACCTGAGAAAAATTGCTGAGCTCATGCCAGGAGCATCAGGGGCTGAAGTGAAGGTAATGGGAGTCCCCAGGGAGAGCAGGCAGAGGCTTGGAGGGCCCAGCGCCGGTGCCACAACTTCCTTTCCCTGTTCAGGGAGTGTGCACAGAAGCTGGCATGTATGCCCTGCGGGAACGGCGAGTCCATGTCACCCAGGAGGACTTCGAGATGGCAGTGGCCAAGGTATGTGCCTCCATCTTTCTGCCTCTGCTGGTGGTGGCAGTGGGCTAGGGGCAGTTCATAATGTAATGCTCACTCCATCTCTTCCAGGTCATGCAAAAGGACAGTGAGAAAAACATGTCCATCAAGAAACTGTGGAAGTGAGTGGATGTCCTGCGTGTGGATCCCTCAAATAAAGCTCTGTGGGACAAGCCTTCTAGGGCTCCCGTCTGTTCACGAGTGGCTGTACTGTTCAATGACCGGCTCTGGACACCACCAATAAACAAAAGGATTTATTTGGAAATTTCCAAACCTGCCAGAAGTGGCACTTGCCACACCCTAGGCCCACCCTCCTTACCAAGTTTCAAAGGGCAAGGACTGCCCTCCCAGCCTCCCCTGCCCTCTGCCATGCACATACCCGCACGTCAGGCCATGCTAGAGAACTGGAGGGTGCCCTCCCTCTAGGAGGCGTCACCTCCCCTGCCATCCCAGGAGATGATGGCGGCCAGAGCCGCTTGCATAGATTAAGGAAGGAAAACAAGGAAGGAGGCACCACATAGGGCTCCTTGGAAAACCCCACTTACCCCTGTACAAAAAAAGTGGCTCCCACATAGAAAAACCTGCTCCCCAAATAGTGCAAATACCCAAAGGAAAGGAAAAAACTGGCAGCAAGGCTGGGCTTGTAGGAATGGCAAAAAAAAAAAAAAAAAACTTTGGTTTAGAGAGGCCAGGAGGAGTCTGGGCTGTGCCGCCTCTTCCTTGCCCAGCTCCCCAGAGCTAGCTCGGACACTCTCCCAGACAAGGGGAGTCTGTAAACAGGCAAACCCAGCGGCCTTTGGTTCCGTCTCATTACAACATCAAAGCACAGCCTCCAGCAGTCCTACTTGGACCTGCCTGCAGGGGGCAGAGGAGGCAGCTGTTGAGAACCTAATTAAAGCCAAAGAGCAAAGTAATAAGGCTTTGGGGACCAAGCAACAAGGAATCCTATCACTACAGTTTACTGAAGCTGGGGACTGGAGGGTGGCAGGCGCCCCTCACCCCATCCTACATGTCTGCGGCCCCAGCTAGGACCCAGAAAGGGCCCCTTCCAGACTCCAGGGCTGGGAAGGAAGAAGAGATCCCTGAGCAGTTAGGTCAGGCGAATCCCAAGCACCTGTTCCAGTTCCTGCCTTCGCTGCTGCACCTGGAGAAGGGAGAGGGCTGGCTCAGGCCTCGGCTACTCAACACAAAGGAGCCAAGCAAGCGGAGCCTCACCTTGGCAAAGATGTGCCTTCCCACTGCCTCCTGGGCCCAGGGCTGGTGGTAGAAAGCGGCACGTCTCTCTTCCTCAGGGTTCCCAATCACGTCGGTGATGATCTGCAGAGGGCCAGGAGGAGAACATAGCAGTTTCCCCGCTACCCCTGAGCCAGTCTGCCCTGGAGCTGGAAGAATGGTATTTGGGGCTAAGACCACCAGGTTCACATGGCACCTCCTG